CCCAATGTACCGGCAAGCGTACCTTTACATAATGTTAGGATGTCTCCCTTTAGTACATCAAAGGATACAAGTCCAGTATACAGGTTCATCATCCATCTCAGGATTAAGATGACAACATATAATTCGTCAAAAGTGAATTGTTTTATTCAAATAGAATTATTAATTAAAACAATTCAACTTTGGTCCGATCCAATATAGATTTCACCATTAGAAACTATATCAATGTCTCCACCCATGGAGTCCCACCTCCGACGACCAAGACAAGTCGTCTCCGTTAGGAAGTAGACAACATAACAATCTTAACATGAATAAAGCGCCCAACTTTATTTCCTCGATTGTGGATCATAAGATTTGGACTATCATCTTTAGATTCTTGTCTTCCGCATGTTCTTCACATTACATGCATGACCTAAAGATTTAGAATGACAGTCTTAGACTTTCAGTTTGCTTATCATACATTCAACTATTATGAACATAAAGAGGACAATTCATAGATATATAAAATAAACAAATCTTTATTAATAGTCAAAATATCTCAAAGAATATTGTTACATTTATTCCTAAGGGCATAAACGCTAACATTGGGCACATACAATAAGCCTTATGGACCTTTCTCAAACACTTATAATGATAGCTGGAAACATCACCCAAACTTTAGTTGGCGAGATTCGAACCAACAAGCATAATCATCTGGAGGGCAATGGAGATTAGAGCAACAATCTCAACCACCAAGGACATATTTTGCGCCTCAGAATAACATGCAGCTGAAAGAGAATTCTCTAGCGGATACCCTAAAAGCTTTTATGGACGCGCAAAATAAGACAAATCAAAGAGTTGATTCAATGCTCACGCAGCTGGTGGGAGAGAATAAGGAAATAAAAAGTCATATCACAAAGCTAACAGAAGCTTTAACCATTCAAGAGTGCGGTAGATTTCCATCACAAGCTCAGTCCAATCTGAGAGGACAAAACATGGTTCAAACTTCCAACTTTGAAGGTCAAAACATCAAGAAAGTTAACGCCATCTCTACTCGAAGTGGTAAGAATTCAGACATGCCATCGACAAGTAGTACCACTTCGAGTAATGAAGAATTGGCTCAGAAGAAAGAAGAGCCAACAAAAATTTTGGTAAAGGTGCCTTTTCCCCAAGCTCTCCGACCTACTGAGAAAGTGCCAAAAAATCAAAGTGAGATCCTAGAGCACTTGACACAATTGAAGATCAATCTTCCCATACTACACGTGATCAAGCAAGTGCCGGCCTACGCTAAGGTTATCAAGGATCTGTACACCATAAAGAGAAAGCACCACATCAAGAAGACTGTATTCTTGACGGAACAAATGAGCGCGGTGATTGAGCAGAAGACACCGTCGAAGTATAAAGATCCAGGTTGTCCTACCATTTCTTGCCAGATCGGGACACATGAATTCAGCCAAGCATTACTAGACTTAGGATCAAGCATGAACCTCATGCCTTATTCGGTCTACTCACAATTGGGTCTTGAAGAGATTAAGCCCACATCTGTGGTTCTGCAACTCGCCGATAGATCCATTAAGAGACTACGGGGAATAGTAGAAGACGTTCTGTTACAAATCGACAGGTTTTATTACCCCATGGATTTTCTTGTCCTGGATACACAATCCATGGTGAATATGGAGTCATCAATTCCTATCATTCTAGGAAGACCTTTTCTTGCCACAGTAAACGCACGTATCAATTGTAGGAATGGTCTCATGAAGATATCTTTCGGGAATATGACCATTGAGGTGAATATTTTTCATATTTAAAAGCAACCACGTGATGATGATGAGTGTCACCAAACATTTATGATCGACACACTTGTCGATGAGGGTGTTCTGCCGCAAAGCAACTCTGAAGATCTAGAAAACCTCCTCTAAAATTCTGAATATGAGAGTTCTGATCCTTGTGAGGTGTCTACCATTGCTGCCATTTTCAAAGAATCACAAGACAGAGGAACTAAGTTTGGGTCACCATGTTTTCAGGAGCTCCCAACAGAAGGAGAAAAACCGAAATCATCCACTGAAGAGGCTCCAAAAGTCAAGCTAGCCCAACCACTTGAGGGCTTAAAACATGCATTCTTGGGAAATGAAGACACATTCTCAGTCATCATCTCATCTAAACTCGATCCATTGCAAGAACAACGATTGATCAACATGCTGAAAGAGTGCAATTCTAGGATCAAGGTAAAAATGAAAGCGGCTCATGATAAGCAGATCCTAAGGAAGAATTTCGAGCCGAATCAACGGGTTCATCTCTATGATTCTCGTTTGCATCTCCACCCCGGTAAGTTGAGGTCGCGGTGGACTGGCATGTTCGTAGTAAAACGCATTTTTCCCAATGGTGCTGTTAAGGTTGAGGACCCGACTGATGGGAGAATATTCAAAGTAAATGGCCAGCGTCTGAAAAATTTCTTAGAGTGGGTGAACTAGGTTGAAGAGATCATTCTCAACGACCCCGTTTACCAGCTCTGAGTAGTTTGCTCACATCTTCTGTACCATATTTTGATTTTCTATTTTTCTTTGCTTATTTTTACATTTTTTTTATGTGTGTTTTTGGAGAATCTTATCAGGAAGCTCATGTTGTGCTCATAAGTGGAAAGTTCATCGTCCAGGTGTCTTCTTTCTCTATATTTCTATAATTTTTGACACTGAGGACATTGTCTGATTTTGGTTGGGGGTGGTGAGCATATTCATGCGTAAGAGTGATTTTTGTCATGTTGATATTTGGGTTAAAATTTTTGTAAAGTTGTCTGAGTATGATTCAAAATGATTGGTTTGGGTCAATTTTTGCTGTCTTGGTTACAAAGAAATGACTTCTAGAGTTTCTTTTTGCACGTGCTAAACCTTGTGGTAAGATGGATGTTAATGCATGTCAGCTGAGAAATTTTTCGAGTTTAAGTGTTTGATTTTTGGTGAGTAAAGAAAACGATTTTTGAACCTTCATTGATCTTTTGAGCTGGTAAAATCACTGTTAGAACATCATTACATGGTTAGTGGTATGCTTGGTGCATATACTTGAGGGATGGATTTTGGGTTAGATAGGAATGATCTTATGTAATAGAGCCTCATTTCTTATTTTTCAAAAAAAAAAAAAAAAGAAAAAAAATGAGCAAGAGCAACATTTCACAGATCATGTAGTTTGGTTGTAATCACATTTGATGCTTTATAGTTGTTTGTCAAAAGAACACCTTTCTACATTCACCTCATTATTGTAGGTTGTCTCTTGCCAAAAAAAAAAAAAAAGAAGGAAAAAAAAAGGAGTAGTTTATTTTCTTATGCATTTTTGGCTCTTTGTTCGTTTCTGTAATTTTCTATTTGACCTGAATGAAATCCCAAAAGTTGGTTTGTGGTAAGAATGGTGGAATGTTCTAGTAGTTGATTAACCTATCTTTTGGTCAATGCTCATTCAACTGTTTGTCCTAAAGTTTACCTTCCTCACACTGAGCGTTGATTGTTCCATTTCCAACTCCATGAGAGATAACTTGTACACTTAAATATTTCTGACACCTGTGAGATCAATGGAGTTGAGACTTCTGCTTGGTGAATTTTTCAAGGCTGCATGTGTTATGGTTAGTGGTAAGAAGGTTATGGTTTGGAGCACACACACACGACTTTGGAGTTATGACTGAAATAATCTTGATAGTATCTTTTGACTTCTCACTGACAATTTGTTTAAAGTACTCAGGTGACTAAGCAAGTTGAGACTCAAATTTTCTTTGTGACATGATTTCTCTTACGCTTGGATTGCCAGAGACTAGCAATAAGCTGGTTGGGGGTTGTGATCAGTGCATGAAAATACACCATAAATACTACTTTGATTTATATAATATTAAAACATTTAAGCTTTAATTAAACAATTTTATTATTTTTATTCGGAATATTTTTAATTGGAATTTGTCTAGTTGTTGCTTAATTATTTGCAGATAAAAAGCAGTGTAAAGAGCTATACAAAAAGATACAATTTTCAGTCAATTTAAGCCACTAAGCCGAGCCTCACAAGCCAAAAAGATAGAGGAGTTGCGTTAACCAAATAAGCTGCCAAGCCGAGCCAACATGAACGGACCCCGCCATTCAGACCGTGCCTCCCTTTCGCCCCATCTCGCGCCTCGTGTGTGACATGCACGGGAACTCCTCAGCGCGCGCGTTCCTTCCACGCAGCATCACCGCGCGTCCCAGCTTTCCACCGCGTGGGTCCCGCGTCTGCTCACGCCATACCTGCCGCTCACTCCACACGTGACACTTGTCCAATGCGGGTCCCAACTGTCCTCCACTCTGACTCCGCGCCAGCACACTCCACCACTCCAAGCGCGACACGTGGTGAGTAATTCCTCACAACCAATCACATTGCGACACGTGTCCCATTTGTTGAATCCGAATTTCTTCCCCAAAAATCAGAGCAAATTACCGAATTTATTCTCCAAATTAAATATATGATTTCTCCTAATTTATGTGTAATTTTATTTTGTTTCCTTTTCCTTTGTAATTTTCTATTTTTATTGTTTCTTTCTTTATTTGACAGGCAACCTCTAAACACTATAAATAAGAAGGTTTGCCTAAGGTTTTAAAAAGCTTTGAATATTCAGTTTTCTGTCGTCTTGCTATCAGTCTTATATTTTCTCTCTAGAACTTGTGAGAATATTTTGCAAGTTAGGCTAGAGTTTTCTTGGTGAGGTTAGAGATGAACTTCTGTTGAGCGACCCAATTCGGGGTTTTGATTCCTTGTGCTGAAAAGTTCAACATCTGAATGAATTAAATCTCATCTATTTTTCTATTACTTTTCAAAATATTGTGTGCCAATTTTTATATAAGTTCAGTCACGCTTTTCTTATGTAATTATGTCACGCATTGTTTTGTCATTCAAATTATTTTACAAATTGTCTTTTACTGCAATATTGTCGGATTGATATATTGTCGATTTTAGATAAGTTGTAATAATAATATTTCTGGAGTCAACAGACAGATTTAATTTATTCGGTTATTTAATATTGTGATTCAAAACTTGGATTGGTGAACGAAACATTTGAGATTCTCGACACCTTACCGTTTTAATTATTGAATTTTCTTCATACAAATTCCTCCTTTCTATTTTATTTGCAACAAAATCTCAAAAATTATTCTTTTTCTTTAATTCACTTTTCTCTAACGCTCTTATTCTGTTAGTCTTTCTTGTTATTTTGTTATCTCTCTGTGGATACGACCGCCCTTCTGTGCTACAATTGACCGCTTGTGAACATCACTTTTGGGCGTTAATCAATGATCATCAATTCTACTGTGCCAGCCTCTTGGAGCTTGCTTCAATCCATAAAGAGCCTTTTGAGGAGATAAACTGTCTTCTTCTCCTTTCTTCACAAAGCCTTCGGGTTGCTCAACATAGATTTCTTCTTGCAAGAAACCATTTAGAAAGGTTGATTTAACATCCAACTGGTACACTTTCTAGCCCTTTTGTGCTGCAACAGCAAGTAGCAGCCTAATGGTGTCTAGCCTGGCCACTGGAGCAAATGTGTCTGAGTAGTCCACTCCAAAAATCTGAGCGTAACCTTTAACCACAAGCCTCACCTTGTGCTTGTTGATGGAGCCATCAGCATTGAGCTTGGTTCTGAACACCTATTTAACCCCAATGACTTTTCTATCTTGAGGTCCGTCAACAAGCTGCCATGTCTTATTTTTCTCAATCATGTACAGCTCCTCCTTCATTGCAACCATCCAGTTTTGATCAAATTTTGCTTCTTCAAAACTGCAGGCTCACAAACTGCAATGTTGCATCTTTGATAAACATCATAAAGCAATCTAGTGCCTCTGACTGGAATGTTATCCACCATCTTATTTTGCCAATCTTCATTTCTCTGCTCCCTGACATTTCTGACAGGAAAGTTTAGCTTCAGTTGATTTGAGGCTTGATTTGAGTCCTTTAAAGTCTCCCAGTTCCATTCTTCATTTTCCACAAAGTGCACATATCTACTTATGACAATATTCCCCGTTTGTGGCTGAAAGACTTTGTAAGCCTTGGATATTGTGATGTAGCCTACGAAGCTGCCTTGTACTGCCTTCTTGTCTAGTTTATCACGCTTAACCTGAGGAACATAGGTGAAGCACAAACAACCAAACACTTTAAGGAAGTTTAGAGACGGTTTACATCCATACCAAGCTTCGAATGGTGTCTGATTCTTCACTGCCTTTGTGGGAAGCCTGTTTTGAAGATAAACTGCTGTATTTGCCGCCTCAGCCCAGAATTCCTTTGGTAAGTTTTTCTAGTGTAGCATGCATCTTGTCATTTCCAGTATGTATCTATTTCTTCTCTCACTAACTCCATTTTGTTGTGGAGTGTAGGGAGCAGTAAGCTGGTGTTCTATGCCCGCTTCCTCGCAAAACAAATTGAATTCTTCTGAGGTGTATTCTTTTCCATTATCTGACCTTAGAACTTGAATGTTGCAGCCACTTTGGTTTTCCACCATTTTCTTGAACTTCCAAAACACTCCAGCCACTTCTGATTTGAATTTTAAGAAAAAAATCCAGCAAAATCTTGTAAAACCATCAATGAAGGCAATATAGTAAAGGCTACCTTTAAGAGATGGTATTCTTTGTGGTCCTGCTAGATCAGTGTGGATCAATTGAATATTCTGTGTTGCTCTCCAAGCTGTTTTTGGGAATGGTTGTCTGTGTTCCTTTCCATATTGACACGCTTGGCAGTGAGGAAGATGATCTTCTAAAACAGGTAAATCCCTTACTAATTGCTTTATTTGAAGCAGTAGTAGTCCTTGATGATGATAATGGCCGAGCCTCTTGTGCCATATCTCCGTGACACTTTCCTTGGTGGGAAAGGCAGCTTGCTCTTCCTCTAATGTATTAAGTGTGAAGCTCTTTCCTCTCATCTTGACGTTGAACATCTCTTGACCAGAGGCATCCTTTATCAGGTAGTATTTGTCTTCAAAATGTACTTTGAAGCCTTTCTCTATCAACTGACCAACACTTAACAGATTTTGGTCAATTTCTGGAACACAGAGAACATCAGAGATAAGTTTTGTACTTGAACAACTTGCAATTGCAATGGTGCCTTTTCCCTTGACTGCTATATGCTGTCCATTGCCAATTTTGACTTTTGTAATCTCCGTGCTTCTTAATTCCTTGAACAGCTCCTTGTCATGTGTCATATGGTTAGTGCAAACACTATTAATTAACCAGCTCTCACTTGAATCACTTCCTGAGAAGCAAGTAGCAACAAAGAGCTGATCCTCCTCCTCTTGATCAGCAACTTGAGCATCTGCTTCTTGCTGCTGATTTTTACTTTTGCAAATCACAGCTTCATGACCAAGTTGGTTACACCTGCTGCATTTTGCATCAGGTCTCCTCCAGCATTTGAAAAGAGGATGACCCTTTCTGCCACAATGTTGGCATGGAGGATAATTTCCCTTCGGACCTCCGGTCTTGTCCTT